TAAAATTACGCCTTGTGGGTGCTACTACAATGTATCTCTCATAGTTCTATTTCTCTAAAGTATCTAGTCTTATTTGCAAGGCCATCCTTTGAAACTAGTTTCTAGTTCCATGGCATTTCTAAGTCAGCAGTTCTCATCTCAAAGTTTGCATACAGATGCACACTATGTGAGCCTTCTGTCAGGCTTTGAGAATTCTCTGCAAATCCATTTCCCACATTTCCCCTTCTCTCTTGAATGGAAAAAACTTTTTTGGTAGCTTTGTTCATTGTTTGTTGCGTACAGTGAAGTACACAAGAATTCTCTACAAATCCCTTTCTCACATGTAATCACTTTCTTGCAGCTGATGTTACTGCTACAAATAATATCAATTATCTGTAAGTGATTCTGTGCTTAGCCTCTTCCAGGCAGCTTAAAGAGCATTAGGGAACACAAATGGCTACAGCTCAAGGATATCCGGAATTGTGATCACCATCTTATGCAAACTTGTGCAGCTATTCCAGCCACAGTCCTTTTACTCCTGCTTTGTTTCTCCAGTCACTGCATGAATTTTTATTTCTGTGACAGCTGCTGGCTTGCAGCTACTCAAGTTAAAACTAATTCATCTTTTACCTGTCTGTGTCCCTTCTTAATATTTCTCAATCCAGATACACAACTTAAAACGCAAAAGCTGGTACAATTTTTGATGATGTATTAGATCACAAAGGAAATCCCACATGTAACAAAAAAGGGTGACCATAAGCCTTCTCTAAGAAGGCTGACCTCAGCACCTACACTGGCTCACTGTATACTGTGAAACCCTAGATATGATCTTCCTTTAACACACTTAAATTAACCTAGATACTTTAAATCAGCTAACAAACAGTGATTATTACTGATAATTTACATTACAAAACTCTCATGACAATTTTATGTATACTTGACTCTGTTTTCTTCATACTCTTAAGGACTACCACAATGATTTTAAATGAAGCATTTCTTCATTGATTTACAGTTCTTCCTACACAGAATTTTAAAAATGTCTTTATATGGCAGCAAAGCTGAATTTGTAAGATAGCAGCAATCTCAGGACACCAACTGATGACATCAGTGAGTGATTAACTAAAAGTTAAGCTGTGAAAAACGTGACACTTCTTGGCACATTAGATAGTTATTTTCTAAAGTAACCTTACTATATTACTGAGTCTGGGCTTCTAAAGAAGTGTTGATGTCAGAGACAAAAAAGAGAAACTCAAATTATGTTTTCTGGTGTTAATCTTCTTTTTTCCCCCCACAAAAAATACCAAAGACATCTAACACATCAACAATTCACCAACAAAAATGTTCTCATGCACAGACTAACCATATGAATCCATGACAGGTTTGAGGTCCTTGTACTGAGTAATAACACTGGTTGTCTCCTGTATGGTTAGGTCTCTGTACTTATACTGAAAAACAAAAGAGAAAGAAATTATTTCAGAAGTTAAATTTTTTGTATAATTTAATTCCATTTTTTTATTTTACCTGACAGCATTTATGAGAGTTTACAAGTATACATGGACATTCTTCCCCACTCTCAGTTTGGAATAATAATGTATTTATCCATATTACTTAAATGACTACTGCCTATATAATTAATTGAACTTTAACAAGATGTTAAGTCTTAACAAGGGTGTAAGCATCAATTGATTTGGCAAAGAGCTACTGCATTTTCTTTCATGGTCTACCACAACCAAGTGTACCTCAGAAATATAAGGGAACCTTCAAAAAAAATAAAAGTAATCTCCAAATGAATATGGTGATGTTTTGAACATTCCTGATGAACAGCTACCTAGGATATGAACCACACATGTCTATATCATGGCACTTTGCAAAGCAACACCATATTTATCAATCATTGATTAGCATTTATGTGTATTTTGCCCGCTAGAAAGTAGACATATCAAGGCATAACATTACCAGCAATAATACTGGTTTTACTCCTTTCATCAGGAGCAGGGAGTAACAGCACAGATGCCCTGTCAACCACAGATACACCACTACAGAATTCACCAGTCTCAGAGTCATAACCCACAGACAGCAAAGAGGCTCCTGGGCAACAGAGAGTTGGTTCACTACACAGTGCAGCCCTTTAGCCTTGTTGTCATTTCTCCTGATAATTACTATTAAAAAGAAAAGTCAGCAACGGTCCCTTGACATTTTTTTCATTCTAATACAATTTTACAAAATTGCAATCAGTTGTCTTAAGGAACCCAGCCAGCAACCTTTCATTGAACTATGGCAGGAAGACAAAGGGCCCAGCACAATGAAATGTCTGACATCCAAAGCAAGCAAATGTTAACAACATCTAAACAAATTAATTCAGACATTATCCAAGAGCAAACTGTGGTGCCACAGCTAAAGGTCACCTTGGCCCTGACAAACACTCGTGAGTTGTGAAGCTCAGAAATTAACTCTTCTTCCTGTCACCTCCAGAGACTGACAAGGATGCTCCTCCCGGGCGTGACAACTCGATTTACTGAGCAGAGATGAACCCACCATGCCACCTCAGCCTAGAGGAAGCACCAGCACCTCGGGTGATGCTGTGACTGCTCTTCTTCAAATGACCAAGGACAAAACAGCCACATGGACTGTCTGCAAAGCGCTGGTCTGTGGGATGAAGGCAACCCCTCCAGCAGGGAATCCTGTGTACACAGGGAAGCACCAGCAGAGGTCAATCAGCCCCTGGATGCTGTTTTGGTGGGAGGGCTGCAGCAAAGCATCTCAGCCTCCTTTGTAAAATTGGTGCAGGACTGGGAGTTGCAGCAGGGCTTGAAAGAGAGACAACTTTGTTAATATTTGAATACATTCCTCCCTCACTCCCCAGCACCTGGAGAAGCAGGAACAGGCACTGCCTGGACATGGAAGAATTTTCATGTACACCAGCCAGAGACTGGCAGCACATACCCACGCCACTGCAGGTGTCACGACAGGAGAAATGACAGCTGCTCACCAGCTACTTTTAAAAGGCAGAGCCTTCTCATAGGAACAAACCTTATGGTCCAGGATAGAGCCTGAACAAGACTGGCATAATCACTACTAAAAAGAGAACAGGATTCTGCTAACAGAAGCTCCACAAAATCACAAGGAGCATAGAATGGTTTGGGTCAGAAGCAACCTCAAAGATCATCTTGTTCCCAAGCCAAGGCAGGGAACCTTCCACTAAGCCAGGCTGCTCAGAGCCCCATCCAGCCTGGCCCTGGACACTGCCAGGGATGGGGCACCCACAGCTTCTCCAGGCAACCTGTGCCAGTGCCTCATCACCCCTACACTAAAGAGGTAAGCAGAGTCAGGCTTTACTTCCACTTTTGGCACAAGAATCTCAGGTTACCTGAGCCAAGAACTGATAAAACAATGCCTGCCTGCTCAGCAGGCACTCTGTGAATCTGGTACATGATAGGGCTGATGAACCACAAATTTGGTTATCAGGCGTGCTTTCAAAAAGGCACAACCCCTGAACATTAAGCAAGCATTTTCATATCCCTATTAAAACACAGAAAGATAACATTCTTACAAACTGTTTTTACACTGAGTGATGATTACTTAGTAGAGAGACAGTTGTATGATTCCAGCTACTGCCACAAGCAAAATTAAATGTTAATTTCAGCTGTTAATTTCTGTACTTAGATTGTTTTCCAATAAATGTCAACATCTCTTCAGAAAATATAAGATCCTAGTGATTTCTACAAAGATAACTAAAACTGATTTATTTGAATTCTTAATTTCTAGACTCCTTTTTCCTCCTCCATTCTCAGATTACAAATGCATTCCCCTCATTTTACATACCAGGAAACAGATCACAGAAAGATGAAGCTTTTCAAGATCTGACAGCAGGTAAATACCTGAAGTTAAATTAAGCTTAGGCTCCCCCAAACTAGGATCAAGCTTTTGTTACCTCACACTGAACTATTCAATATATGAAATATCACTAAACTTCCCTCTCTAGAACAGAAAGTGTAACTATTTTTGAAAAATAAATGGAATGAAATAGCATCTTCATTTTCCATCACATACAGAAAGCCAGACAGGAGTATAAATTGAACAAGTGTGGGGGAACAAGGACAATGGAATACCTTAAATTGTATTTCTTCTATGGCATTGCAGTAATTAACTTAGCAAAGACAGGTGTATACACATACACACATGATCTCATTTGCTGACACTGACCAGGTATTCAACACTCATTTTCAAGCTGATTAAAAAAATCTGCTTATGACTCCATGCAGGTGAATGTGCCTTTGGTTTTGATTAGATTCTCAACTACTGCACTTCAGTTCAAAACGCCACACGTATGATTAAATGCTGCCAAAAAAATTCCAAAATCCCTCCAAGAAACGCGTAACTCCCCCTAAGCGCCAGCTTTAGGGGTTTTCATTGCAAGCCGCTGGACAAAGCCCAGTTTTCAGTGAGGAGTGGCACGCGTGGCTCTGCATGATTCAGTCGTTAATGATTTGCCTTCCATGAGATGTTCCCGTTTCCTTACACAGGGGCGATAACCAAGCCCACCGCAGCCCGGTCAGCGATGCTGAGCTGGCCTTCCCCCTCCTGTAACCGGGGAGCACAAGCGCCGTGTGCCCCGCCGGTGCCTGGCACTGTCCCAGCCCAGCCCCGCAGCTGGGCACGACCATTTCAGGCTCGCTGCGCCGTTCCTCCCTTCCCGACACAACTCCCCGGAGCCTCCCGGCGCTGGGCCCCGCTGCCGCCCGCCCGCGGGCCGGGCCTTGTCCGTACCTTGGTGAGCATCTTCTTGAGCTGGCTCTCGGACACCGCCATGGCGGGCGCCCCTCGCTGCCGGTGTCGCTGCCCCGCTGGTCCCGGAGCCGCCGGCCCGGCCCTACATAAACACAGGAAGCGGCCGCGCGCCCGCTTCCGGCGGCGGCGCCGCTGCGGCGCGTCACGGGGCGGGCGCGGAGCGGCGCGGCGGGAGCGGAGCGGCGCTGAGCACCGCTTTTGTCGTCGGCAAGGAATACCACACACACGAAACGTCAGGCTGATGCACAAAACACGCCTGTAAGGGCTGGCAGCATTTTAAGGTTAACATTATTACATAAACGCCAAACTAAATAAACAGCTTGAGTATTCGCGTGAAAAGAAATTCTCAACAGATGAGAAACACCACCATGAAAAACAATGTAAAACCTTAAATTCATATTGGTTTTTTTTTTTCAAAGTAAGTGAAGACAACCAAACCCCAAAATGCAGCTTTTAAAAAACATAGCAGCAAAGTTGGTTACCTGCAGCCATCACTAATTTTGCCCCATCATTTACCACTACAGTGAAAGACATTTGGGTATTCAAAAAAAATAAAGGTCTGAATTACTGAAGGTTTTTTCCTTCTATGTTTAATCCAGTTCTGAGATCAGCATACACTCAGAACTCTCTGCATGTCTGGCTCTTTGTGAGATGGAACTGGAAGGCACAAAGGATCAGATCTTTTGCTCTGCCAGAGATCCTACTTTTGCTCAGAACAAATTTCCAACAATATTTGGAAAATTTCCAACCAGCCACCTCTCAAAGTGTAAAGGTAGAATGACATTCCTAAGCTGCACACAGCAGGAGTGGAGCCCAAGTCCTCTGTGCCTGCCATGTGATGCTGAGGTATAATCAGGAGCAACGCAGTCTTTTACCAGTAGTAAATCAAGAGGTTAGAGCCCAAAAAACGCCTTGATCTCAAAACCATCTGTTTTTTACCTACAAATCCACATCCTCCTTTTTCATCACATCCCTGGCCTCCAGGGAGGAGGGTTACAGGTTCTGTTGCCTTCTCCTGAGGCTGATGTAAAGCTCCCAGCTGGCTTTGTTTTGACGTCTGAATGTGCAGATACTCCTGCGCTGTTCAACTGCTGGATTTTATCTTTTATCTTTATTTGAAGCCCAGCTCCTGCTCCTCCCATTCAGGAAGAGCCCCTGTTCCAGTGCTGCCCGTGTGTAGTGAGAACTGCAGGTGCTTTAATGCTCTGAATATCCTCACAAAATAAAAGCAAGCAAGTCATGATTGGAGTATTTCAGCCATGATAAAGTGTGAACAGAAATCCACAGCCAATAGTTCAGGTTTGAAGGATACTGTGAACACCACGTTCCCCTTAGTAAATAGCAAAATACCAGGAGTCCATTGACATAAGAGCATTGACAGCCATGGAAGATGGAGCTGTGGAATTGCATCCCCAGTGCCTGTGGAGCTGGAGTGTGACTGTACCCTAAACAAGCCTCAGATACAGCATCTGAAAGCCGTGAGGAAAGGTTCAAGTGGGCTCTGCATGCTGGAGTTTCTGTAGAGCTGGGTAAGCCCCTCTTACCATGTAAAGGGGTGCAAAAATCTAAGAATAACCCAAGAATCAGGCTATAACTGGCAGCCAAAACCCACAGGGCAGTGCCACCTGAATTTAGGTAAAACATTCTTGCGTGTAACCTGCCTCATTTTGGCTACCAAAAGTGCACTTTTCAAAGAAATTATTGCCATACAGTGTGATATTAAATTATTTAAACCTAAACTGAGAAAGCACTTTTGGAAAGTAAAGTAACAAAGCTTCCTGCTTTCTACAGAAATCCTTATATACGAAGCAACCTCTTCTGCCTTGCAGATCTCCAGCTTCAGTGAGCAGGCGAGAGGCTTCCCTTGGGCTTCCTTACAGTTTCAGCTGCTGCTGCAGGTCATGAATTGAGCCTGCACTGCTTTGCAGTTTCTCTTGCACCAGTGGGTCTTCCTCCAGCCTGACCATTTCAATCACTCCACTGGCTCCAAGAACACATGGGAGACTTAAGAACACTTCACTGTTTATATTGCAACACCCCTGAAACAAGACACAAAGAACACTGTCACACACACAGTTACTTATTTCTGCTGCAACTACACAAAAGCGTACAATTACACAAAATGACTTGATTATTTTAATTAAGCAAGGATATTCCAACATATGGCATGTTTGGATAGGCCAAATTCTATTAATTTTAGATAGTGTTCAGTGGGTTACTGTATAGAAACTGTAAAATATTATCGTGCAGATAAAAATTTGTGAACCATGCCACAACTGGGGAATTTTTCCAAGATAGATAGATGTCTATAATGCAGACAAAGTTTATACTACTAAGCACCATTTCTCAGCTAGAACAAGCAGGGACACTTGGTAGTACAGTATCAGTTCATTTAGGACTGAACAAAATAAATTAAATAATGCAGCCTAAGAACGGTGGAAAATTTCTCAAATATTGATCCCCTACAGATTCTGCAAAAGAATTTATCAAACTTGTATCCCTATAATTCAAGTTTACATTGTAGATTGTGTTTATTTTTGTAATCTGGGACATTTTACCTTCTGTAGATACTTTAAGAGACTTGTGACTCCTCTGTATCTATATTTAGTTCAGGAATGATTAAAAACTTCACTTGAAACATAATGAATTAATTAGGTACATGCTTGTACTCAATAAAATAAGCAGCCAGCTCAACTTCCCTGCACAGGAATATGCAAATTGTCCTTCTGAAGGCTCTAAACTGAAGTGACAAATAAATGTTTCTACATGGGTTTTCTCACCATATGGAATGACCTAATGCTTTAGTGAAGCCTCTTAGAGAAACTTCAAACAAAATTCAGTCTACAATTTTAAGTTAACTATTGCTTCATAATCTTTTCCTCTGAAGGAAAGTACTAAGTAGTAAAAAAGCAGCTGTTTCAAACTTAATCAAATAAAATGCTGGCAGAAAATGCATTTTGCACTTTCAGAAAAGAGACAAAATTCTTTTGGCTCCTAAAAAAGCCTACATTTAATACTAAGTACTCTGGAACTACAATTTACTTTTCATTTGCCAAATCCAGCTATTCTAGGGGTGCTGGGCAGCAACCTTAAATATATTTTCTCTTTGGACTTGTATTTTTAGGAGAATAATCCAGTTTTACTATTGCTTTCAGGTTAAAACAGTATGTGATTTTTGCTCATTTTTGGACTAGAATTGAGAGCTGCTGTTGGAAGAATGTAATGGCAGTAGCACTACCTCAGAACACTGAGATGTCTGTGCTGCTAGAATTGATGGACATATCTGGTATAAATAATATAATTACAGTACCAACCAAAAGGTATTAATAACACATTTACCTTTGCCAGAGTGGATACAGAATGAACCTTTCTTTTATCTTTCAGAATGCTGTCAGCCAAATCAGCAACTGACAGCCCAACAGACCAAGATCTCTGACCTTTTCCCTTCAGGACTTCCATAGCTCTACACATAAACCAGGAAAAGGAGAAAAATGTGATGTTGAGATTGTAATTATTTTTATTTTTGTTTTTTATGTAAAACCCAAAATACAGGTTTAAGTGTACCATATCAGGTAAAGTGTACTATAAAAATATGATTCTCTGTGTTGGAAAACAACACAACAGAATAAAGAATTGCTGAAAAGAATTTCTTTACAATAATTTTTGTCTATACTTGTAACAATTTTCTTTTCTACCAAGAGGTGTAATTTGATAATTAAGTCAGTTAAATTCATCCAAACTGGTGCTTGACTTGGAAGAAAATGCTTCCAACACAAGCTCTGAGAAAAGTGGGCCAGAAGGCTCATCCAGTATTTGTTTTAAATACACAATCAAACAGCTCTGATATTCTGCTGAATATTGTGGTGTCTCTTTACATTGCCACAATGTTAGTAATAATTTCAGAAAAACAGTGGCCATATACAGATCCATAAAAGTGAATGATGACTTGACCTACAATTTCCTATAAATTCAATGTATGAACATTTTAGAGCAAGCTTCGCCCTCTTCATAAAGAGCTGAAGAACATGTAAACACCAAGTGCCTAAACATGAAAGAAAAAAAAAATAAAAAGGGTTATAATGACACTACCTGTTAGCCACCTTTTCCCTCGAGTTACGAGCAGCCATTGATTCTGTTTGATTTGCAACTACATTACAGCTGGTCCATGATGGTACTAAAGAGAAACAACCAAAAAAAAAAAATCATTTGAGGTTGTGGTTTGTTTTGGTTTTTTTTATTTCCTGTGACAAAGGGCAAATGCTTTTGCTGCTACTCCAGGTCTATGGATTTGGTACCCCACAACTGCATTACTTAAAGCCATTATTATGAGAATTTACCACTCTTCTTATTACTTTTCTCATTATCTTCATTACTTTTCTCAATTATTCTTTCATTATTCAGTTACTTAGGCACTGCCAGGACACAACATGCACATGGTCATAAAAAAGCATCACTTTACCTTTGTCTTCCCCTTGTTCACCAACAACCCAGGCATCTTTTGCCAGCACCTCTGCTTTCAAAAGGTTGGTCAGAATGTACCGAAATCTCTCTGAATCGAGGTTGGCACCAACTCCAATTACTCTGCTTTTGGGAAACGAGCTCAGCTTCCACGACACAAATGTCATTACTTCAACTAAATGACAAAGAAAAAATAATGTTGTCAAACATGTTGTAAATGAACTCAAAATTCAATTCAACTGCAACTTTTGAATCATCATTATGAAAAACTCTGGACTTCATTACTTTAGAAAAGGCATAAGCACATGATAACATACTGGTAGTTTATTTCAACCTAAAACACAAAGTTGGGTGGGAAGAAGTGAAAAAATAAGAACAATAATGGTAAGAGTAGGAAGAGCTGTCTTCAATGCATTACAGGACAGAGGCTCACACTTCTTTCCTTTTCCTAAGCAGTGATTTTATTTTGTCTTAGTTCACAGTACCACTGGCCTGGAAATTTAAACCTTCCACCAAAATCTAGCTGCAATATTTACTATTAAAGCTATACTTTGTATCTGAGTAGCCTGTGTGATCATATGGCACATAAACCACATGGATCTATCCTTCCTGCAAGGAGAAACGAGCACATAAAACTCACAACTGACAAGACAATGGCCAACGGATGCTAATGATGTAGACACAGTCAGGTTGAAACTATGCACAGAAACATACAGAAATACATACCTGTTAACCAAAACAAAGTACATTATTTTCTTTTATCTTGGTAACAGTAAAGAAAAAACCCTCAAAGACAGTGTCCTGCTCAAAGCTGAAAAGGAAAACATCTTTCAGAGTAGCAAGAATTTTTGACTAACCAGGTGCATTCAGCAGTAACATACTTTTAAAACAGGCCAGAGAAGAAGCCAGGTGAGGGGCAGAACCTTATGCAAAGTACCAGCATACCTGGATGAGAAGCAACAAGGAGAACAGCATTCTGACTGTAGTGGGATACTGCTGGAATAATTCCTCTGAACAAATCCACATTGCTTTGTATGACATCAAGGTAAGTCTGAGCATTACCCAGAGAATTAACTGTAAGCACCACAACTTTGGAATCAGCTGAAGCAGAAAAATCTGAAAATAGAAAGAAAATAAAATTTGAAATTTATGTCATTCTACTGAGTTTTGGATGCAAAACCAAGAGCTGTTCTAAAGGCTGAACTACAGCATCCAGCTTAATTAGGGATTCTTTGCCTCCTGTCCTCCTTATATCCTGCAGTGTTGAATTTAGGGCACTCCCACAGCACCTATAAAACACCGCTCTCCCACCGAGCTACTTTCCTGTTTTATAGGTGTCAAACAAGAAAGGCAGACGACCATTTGTCCAAGGTTACAGAGCAGAGACCAGAAAACATCTAAACAGCTTTGATAGATAAACTTTTCCAAGTTTTCTTGGCAAGAAAGAAAAAAAATCAGTGAAAAGACTCCTTAACTTTTATTCCAACTGTTAAAGAAGGGGAAAGACTTACTCCTTTATCTGAGGCTTCTTCTATAATTTTTGACCTTATACCTTAATATAAGGACACGTAGACAGCCATGAAAGGCACTCCGAAAGTCTCTTTATTAACCCAAATAAAAGACAAATTATACTTATTAGCCCAAAGAAACACACAACTACAGTTGCTGCAGTAATTTAGAAGTCAAAGCTGCCTTGAGCAGGTATCTCTGAATATCTGAGTGCCACACAGGTGATCAGCCTGGACAGAGAAAGAGGGTGATTTGTCTGTTGCACCACTTTTGGAATCAACTAAAGCCAAAGCAGAGGTCTAATGCACTGACAAATTAAAACCATACTAAGGAGGATATAATTAATACTAGCTTGCCCCAAAACTAGATATAAACATACTAAAATATCAGGTGACAGTATGCAAGCATTTTGTAGTATTGTAACACTACCAAGCTTCTCATACCACAGCTAAATGCAAACATACAGCAGGCAACCAGAGAGGCACAAACAGATTTGTGGTACAGTTGCACAACCAGGGCTCAGGCAAAAAGGTGTGCTAGCAGTAAAACCTGCAAGATAAGATCAAAGAATGTACAGCAGGCAATGCCAGGTGCAGAATAAGCCACAAAAATGCCTGTTGGAACCAGAACTAGTCCCTGTCCCCAAAATAAGATAAATGAAAAGAGAAGCATACGAAAAACCCCTCATTTAATCTTGCAAAGGGTGCAAGGAACATGGAAACATGACACATAAGCAAGGAAGAATGTTACTCAATTCATCTCCAGCTCTCCCTGTGGAAAAACTTCTGAGCTGCATGGCCTCGACCTCCGCAACCATCAAAGGCTATAACTAATCACTAATTAGAGACACACGGCACTGAGTCTGTTGATTTGTATGCTCACAGCTGACTGAGACAAGGGTATTAAGAACTCATTGTTTGAGTATGCAGTGATAGAGATCAAGGACTCACTATTGGCCATGTGCATGTTTAATGAACACCAAGCTAGAAAAGCAGCACTTTGAAACACACCTTTATTTGTCAGCCTTTTGAACACTGCTTTCACAGCCTTCACTAATTCCTATGCAAATATTTTTCCCCCTTCCCTCTCTCTGCCCATGACAAGAAGTTCTAGCTTGGCTTCTCTGTATTTCTGCATGAGTCCAATTTCAGCATTAGCATCTTACCTGCAAGTACAGACTTTTAAAAAAAGACAGCCTGTGTGCCACTGTATCTCCCCAGGTGTCCTGCTCTTGTTAAAATGAGCACAAGCACACACAGTATAGCACCCACTCCTGTTCCAGAAAACACATCTCATACCTTTGCTGATCTCCACATTTGGCACAGCAAAAATCTCCAAATCCATGGTCCCTCCTTTTGCTGCGCCTTCAGAAAGGTCCAAAAGAACCACCTTGTCTGCAACATCCTGTATGAATAAAAATAATACAGATCAATAATAAACCAAAATAAAACTTGTTCATGTGGGAATGAGGAATAAAAACCAAATTTCCTCCCATTTCATTGTTTGCTGTAATGTGTACAAATCAAGCAAAATTACTGGTCAAAATTACTGCAAAATCACAAGGAAAAGGACTTAGTTTTGTGAGGTTTTTGTTTGTTTTGTAATGTGTTCTTTCCAGTTAGACTTCCTAAACTATCTCTGGGAAGTCAAAAATTACTGTTCCTGATACTAAAAACTACTACTAAAAAAAGCTGTTACTGTTGTATCTAACATACAGCTGTGATGAAGTACAGCCCATCTACAGACTACCCTTTTCCAGGGAACTAGGAGATCCCAGTTGTAAGAGGCTACTGCTGAGACAAGAATCCTTTAGGGATTTTCAAAGTAAGTGAATTCAATACTCAACCTTTGAATTAAAAAAGCTGACTGAGAAACCAGGGCAGCAAACTAACACCTCTGTGTGTCCCTAAGTTAATTGAAGAGACAAATGACCTATGCAGTGACAGTTGTTAAAACTGATTAGGTATTCCTTAGTGTCAGATATTAAGAACTAGATTGGAATCTTCTTAATCAGGCATCTTGCTATTTTTAATAATTATGTACCTTTGCTGCAACTGCTAGTACACATGCAATGCCAAGATCTCCAGCTCCAACAACAGTGATTTTGTTAAAACATCCTTCATTTCTGCTTCCAGTTTTACTCCTCGATTTCATATCAGACTCTCCTGCAATTAAAAGAAAACCACAAACTTGGGTGCTGGTTCACACTGTATCAATACAAGTATTGCAGCTTCCTAAAGGATCATGGTTGTGCCAGAGTTAAATCAAGTTACATGGACTTTTTCAAAATAGCAGTCAAGACTGACCACAGAAAGTCCATCACAACTTGCAAGGTGTAAAACAAATATTCCTCTCTAGACAGGAATGTTTTTTTCACTAAGTAGAAATACTCAAGCATGACAACAGCAAGATGCTAAACACTAATACCACAAAACCAGCACTCCCTTTGCTGCTGTTACAGGTGTGCATACAGACCATGGTCATAGAATTTGTAAAATATAAACCATGCAGGTTTCTTTGTGACATCAAGTAATGACAATAAATGAATATATTTTATAAAAAACATTAGAAACGAGTCCATGAACACATCCCCACCTTCAGTAATCTTTGCAATATAGGAGAGAAGTTCTGATTGCCTGGCTGCATCAGAAGATGACAGTGAGTACAAAGGAAGTTCTTCCTCAAACTTTGCAATCATTTCCTTGATTAATCCAATGACAGTTGATTTAGGCTGAAATACAGCAGACAAACAGAAGATAAAACAGCTGAACAGCTATTTTGTGTAGCGGTATCAGCTATGAACTGCCAGAGCCATAAAAAATTTCATCAAATTATAAATACTGACACTCTTATCATTTACCCAAACACCTAAGGGTGAGAAAACCATCACTTTGAGAAAATACTTTCCAAACAGGAGCATGAGGAATTTAACAAAAGGAATTCTAAAATTGAAATTACCAGTGCTAGGAGTTTTTGAAGGCATCCACTGAATATATGGAAGCCTCTGATATGGCCACATCCAGTATTATAAAAGGGACAAATCCTAGCTAAAGAGAAGTTATTTCAGTCTTCTTAGATGAGCTCAACTGTCCAGAGTTCTGGCATTTCAGTCCTCCTCCAGGTAAAACACACTGTGAAGTCAGCAGAAGTCCCCTTAGGAACTTCTGTCTCAATGTAAAATACAGCCCATTCATTTACAAAAGCTGGCATTCACTGAATAATTTCTACTGGCCTGGCAGTCATATTTAAGTGACTAATTTAATACAGTGCATAAAATCATTCAGCAACAGCACTGACTTCTGAATCTCTGTGCTGTTTCAGAGTTCTGCCAAAAGAGACATACCCAAAAGGCAGAAACTTACAGAGAACTTTCCTGAGGGATACTCAACTGGTCTCACTATTCACAGCAATAAAGCATCATGAGGTCTTTGTAAAGAATCAGTCCCTTTTTTCATTAGAATTACTTCCAAGTGTCTTTGCAAGCCTCAAACTGCCTGAAAGCTCCAGATGATACCCTGCAGTATTCCCAAGAGCTTCCCTCCCCTGTCAGCCACCCCACCTCTTACATGGCTCCAGTTCTGCAGGTAGGGCAAATAAATCCTGCCCCGTGCATCCACGTGTTTCCCCACTGCAATGCCCATGTTTGCAGTTGGCTTCAGGAAGCAAATGGGGGGAGCAAAGGGATGAGAATCCAGGATCCACAGACGAACAGGTATGTTATAGGAATTACCTGCTAAAATAAAAGCCATTATTAACTTCTGCACTGAGAAGAGGCACCTAAGACCAGTCGTGTGCGATGTAATTTACACTTGGTAGTAACAAAGGAAAAAAGCCTGACAGAGCACTTCCAGATTCACACTGGAAAATATTTATATTACTTAGGCTAATTAATAAAACCAGATCAACTTGAAATACTACTTATTGTGCCTTTCGTAATATAAAGGTCTGTTGCTGATTTTGCCTCCCAGGGTCCTCTCTCAGCCATGTGTCCCCTTTTCCCAGCAAAGAAAAGTATGAAATATATGCATAAAACCTATTTTATGACTTAACACCTAGTGCAAAAAAGCACCTATCAAGAGCTTTGCAGCAGACTTCAAAGTTGAAAACAAAAAACTGCCTACAAGTTATTTTTGGACGCTGACTGTACAAGTGTAGGTCTTAGAGAGTTCACACAAGCTCCTTTAGCATCAAAGAGCTTGCCAAGATGGACTCAAACAACACTATTTTTAAAATAGTTCATTTACTTATTTAATTAATAGCACCTTATCTAAGCATCTGTGCACTTGTTTGTGCAGTAGAAGTGACTTCTGCCAATTCAAACAAAGTATTTTCTAGTCCCCTTTGGAGACACTGCACGGTGAACTGTTAAGAGGCAGCACCCAACACATTCTACATTTAGATTGGCAAGAAAATTACATTTGATTTATCTTACCATATTTTACTGGGACAGTGCCACTAAAATTCAGGAGGTCCTTCTGGGATCCATCCTTGAAGGCTGAAATTAAAAATACAGTTAAAAATAAACAATGCCTTTCAAACCTGGCATAGCAATCCCATCCACAACTACAAATATACAACAGTGATTTTTCTTTAGAAATCAAATACACTGCTTCTGAAAGAGCTAAGGCTAGAATATTACTAAGGCCACCCCCTCCCTTTTAAAATATTTCCTTAATGAAATTTTAACAAAAATTGCATTGGTACAACGAAGCACATCATTAGACTGAAAACCCTTTGTCCTGGGTAATTCTGATGTTGTGGGAATTTCCAGTCAGGCTGATGGATTCTGGATGGCACAGTCTGTAACCTAAAGCCATCAAAATACTTTTAATACAATAATGAATTATGGGGAAAATGGTGTTAAACATAAATAATTTAAAGTATCAATCTTTCATAATTACTGGCAAGCTGAAGTAAGGTGAAGTAAATGACTTGCCAAGGTTTTTATATGCATGCATCCTTGGAAGAGCATTCAGGAACAGTAACGTGGCATGAGAAATTTTACTGAAAGTCAACATAAAGACAGGAACACAACAGAAATATATTCACATTCTATTACACACAGTCTGCACTTGTGGCAAGTAGGAATCCCCACAAATAGTTCAGAGTAAGTGTATCACTTCTTACTGTATGTGTTCATGGAGAACGTGAAGTTGGGGTAGGTCTTGCTAACATCCTTCAGCTCTTCTATGGTCAGGTCTCTGAACTTGTACTGCAAAGAGGGAGACAAAAAGAAGGAAAAAAGTTCCACTTCAAAGGCCTCTGTACAGAGATAGAGAAAAGGACACTATAGAAGGTGGAAACACTAGAAGGGGAAGGTAATAATTACTTTCAGTATTATAAATAGTTTTGATGTGAACAAAATTATCAAAAAGAATTGATTACAAAAGCTTTGAATCTATTGCAGGTCTGCTGTTGAAATTCTGAACATCACTCCTTATATACCATCTCTTCCCCTTTACAGCTGTGTGAGTAGAAGTTCAGTAAAACTTAGTCTCCTCTGCCCATATTAAAAAGAATATAAAAATATGAACCTCTTAGGAAAAGGAGGTTATTTTCTTACTGACACAGTTAAACTCAGGTCCACCTGCACACATTTTAGAAGAGTTTACTAACATGTCACTTTCCACAAACGTGTCAAGTGTGTAAGAAATCAGCCTCTAGGATTTTTTTTTTCCTTTTTAAGTTGTTCTTGAGAGCTGAGAAAATTAATTGCTGCTGCTTCACTGAGACTGTCCCCAGCTAGTCCAATACCTGAACTTCCAAGAGATTTGCATCCTCCCACATCCCAAAGTTACAAAGAGTACTTTCCATTTCCTAGACTAGAATCTCTGCTTCTCCTTTAGGAAACCTGGTGCTGTTTTTTTGGAAACCTTTGCCTAAGCAAACAAAACTGCTGCCTGACAGTGGCTTAAAGAGCTGCTCACTGCCCTGGAATAATTGTCACAAACCAGTAACTAAAATCGAATTTCTCTTCGGTCTGCTGCCCCAGCAGCAATGTGACAGCTACGGGCATGGCACAGTTATTTTGCACTGTCTACAGGAAAACATTTACTGACAAATAACACCTTTCAGTCAGCTTCTCCCCATCACTGGATTCTGCAAAGTCATGCAGAAAAAAAAAAGGAAAAAGAATCCAACGTTCCTTAATTATGAATGTCTACACAACTTAGGGCATTTTTTGGAGGCGTTGATATACCTGGTTGTGAAACCAAAGTCATCTTTCCCCAGCTGGCCTCCTTCTATTCATAATACAAAACGAGGCATTCCTATCAAGCACTTCGCCCTCTTCTAAAGATCACAGGATTTACGGGGTGACTCAGACACAGACCTTCCTCATTTCTCACCCAAAATTATTTGGCATGCCCGAAGCCTAAATACGCCGCCCTCAGTTTCCCACGAGGGAATTAAAAGGCTCAGAGCGATGCCACAACAACGCGCCCGTGCTCCTAAGGCGGGGAGGGGCTAACGCGGGGAATGACACCAAAACCCCCCAAAAACAACAAAACCAAACCAAACAAGCAAAAGTTATGGATTTCCGATGAGTGAAGAATAAAGTTGCAGTCGTGAGGCACGGCGTGAACCAGGGGGGTAAATCGATGCGTGGCGCAACTTAAAGCTCGGCTGTATTAGGACAGCGCAGACACCGGGATGCGAAGGGACGGGACAGGAGGACGGGAGTCCCTGGGCAGGCACCCCGGGACAGCGGCGCCATCCCGGCGCTCCCTCCGCCCCTGCCCTCCCTCAGCGCCGCCCGCGCGCCCCCTCCCCTGCCGGCCCCGCGGGCGCGCGCACCTTGCCCAGCTGCCGGCGCAGCGCCTCCTCCGCCAGCGCCATGGCGGCGCGCGCCGCTTCCCGGCGGGCCCCGCGCGGGGCAGCGCCGCCCCTCAGGGAGGCGGGCTGGGCTCGGCGGGGAAAAACCTGGGGGGGCTCGGGGGTTTTCAGTATCCTTCTAAAGTATCTGCGAGTGGGAGGGGTCATAAACGCTTGGTGACCATGTGGGCTAGGCGCTGTTTCCACGCGCCATGGTGTTGCAAAATGTGGAATGTGTCGAGATTATCTTAAGCCAGGATCTTCTTTGATGTAAGATCATTGTATACTTTCAAGCCTCATTAGATGAAGAGGCAGCAGCCAGCGTCCAGGCAAGGACATGCGTGAACGAACAAGCTTTAAGGATGCAGTAAATCAAGGTGTTGTTCATAGAATCACAAACTATGGTGATTTGGAAGAGACCCACCAGGATCATGGAGTCCAGCTCCTGGCCCTGCTCAGGACACCCCGAGAATCACACTGCGTGCTTGAGAGAGCATTGTCTGAATGCTTCTCGAACTCTGTCAGGCTTGGTGCTGTGACCACTGCCCTGGAGAGCTGTTCCAGTGCCCAAACACCCTCAGGGTGAAGAACCTTTCCCGCTATCCGACCTGAACCTCGCCATACCACGCCGTGCCATGTCCCCCACTCCTGTCACCGGTCACCACAGAAAGACATCAGCGTCTGCCCCCTGCTTCCCCTCACGAGGGAGCTGTAGACTGCAATGACATCTCAGAGTCTCCTTCAGGCTGAGCAAGCCAAGTGACCTCACCACTTCTACAGCTTCCCCTCCAACATCCTTGTGACCATACACAGATTTTTAGGGATGCGGGGGTTTCTTCCCTCTGTGTTGACGGTATCAAAACTGATTTGCAACTTCATGGAATTACAAGTACGTAAATACAAACCTGACATGAATTTATTTCCCTACATTAGTCTCTTTATTTTTTAAGCCTCCCTACAACATAGCAGCCAGACTGGAAAACTGCCTTTTGGAAAGTGGGCCCTGCAAGTCTGATGGCCAATTCAGTGGAAAACACAGATCCAGCAAGGTTAATGATGACAAATGCCAGTTCTATCCCCTTAACTGACCTGAAAAACTGACAGAACAGGACAGACCAAGCTTGATAGTAGCACGTTTTTACAAGGAGCAAGATCTTGAGCAAGCTCATACAATTTTTTGCTCCCTCACTTGAGGCTACTGATACAAGGCCAGAAGCAGACAGTAACTAAAAGCACAGCTGTTGATACAGCCATAGCAGAAAATAATTAGGTTTAGAACAACCTTCATTAAGCTTCTCCATCATATATAATGCTTAATGATGCTTCTGTGCTGAAGTTGTGTGTGATATAATGAAGAATGTTACAGCTCCAATGTTCAGTTTGGAAAGTAGCACAAGATCAGTCCTTCAGGAACTGTCATTGCAGATTCCAGCAAGTGCTACACATCATTTGCCCAGCAAGCATAGTACATCTTCACATAAACTGCTACAGAATGACCAGCGTGAACATTTATCTAAACCTTTTAAGTGACAGTTTGAAAATAATTTTGTTTTACAAAGGTCTTAGCATAGACTAATGTTTGAGAATAAAACATTCCTTTTAAATCTTGAATCTCAAGCATCTAATTTTTTCTTATTATTTCACAGTAAAAATAACTGGGAAAGTCTGATAGATATTTACAGTTATTAATAAGTCTGATGTTTGGAAACATTTAAAAAATCTGTGTTCATTCATAACCAAAATAATCATAGCAACCAGGACAGCGATCACATCCCCGTGGCAGTGACACACTGCTGCTGGTAGTAGTGTTTCTGTTTAAGGCTCACAAGTCACCCTTAACCAAGCTTGCACCCAAACTACAGATGCAAGTGTCTTAGTACTCACTGTTCCAACTCATTTCAGTTCCAGTCTGGGTCTGTGCCCTCTGACTCAAAATCTTCTCTAAACATCATTTGCAATGAATAACTCTGTATTACATCAACAAAGTATTGCCAGCTAATCTCTAAGTAATGAAACATCTTGCTAGCAGGCTAACACACAGCCTTGCTACTCCATGTATCCCTCTAGTAGTTCCTCTGCCCCCATCACTGGGAACACTCTTTTAAATGAAGCCATAGAATTTTGCATGTATTCTTACCAAACAAGCTGTAGAATTTCTCCCAAACTGGGATTTATCAAGCAATACATCCAACTCTTATTATTACAACTCCTCATTGCATAAAAGGTTACACTATGTATTAAAACCCAGCATTTTGCCAGCAGTACAGAACTTCCTGACCGAGATGTTTTCTTTGAGATTTGGTAGAAAAGTTAAGACGGTTAATGAAACAGAAAATAGACTGCAATTTCTCAAGTGCTAAGGGAGAGGGCAAAGCAAAATGACAGTCTTGGGGTGACATGGATCTTGTCTTGCAGCATACGACTTTGGAATTTTATTCAGCTCTACACAAGAGGAAAGTGACATTTTTACAGCCCTCAAACTTTCATTCTTTAAGTACTAGTCTTATTATTCTGCTTGCCTGTGAACATCCTGTATCTATACTGTTGCTAGCTTAGAGAAAAGCCAGGGGAAATGATTCTCAACAACACGAAACTACTCTCCAGGAAGCATTTTAAAGGATTTTCTCCTGTGGAGAAAATCATGCAATGCTATGAGTTGTCTAAATTAACTTCAGAGTAATGGAATGGAAATTACAAGTTCAACTTGTAAATATTACATGCTAAGGGAAAAATTTGCACTTCTAAAATATACTCAAGTGACCATCCCAGATACCAGAGACTGGGTAATAATTGCAGACCAACCACAGCACAAGTGGCAGGAACAAGCTTCCTGATGAAACCCAAGCCACCTCCAGGCTCTGGGAATATCATGACTAAGAACATTATCTCAATGCTTCCCTTTGTTCTGAACAACCAGCAAGTCACCCATGTGTGTGATCTACACTGGGACATTTTGTATGTCATAATCACTTACAAAGCACCAACTAACCAAGGCTAGATTCCAGCCAGCAGCTATGAGGTACATCAACCCTCATTGCCAACTGTAAAAATAGTGAAGAGACTTTCCACAAAAGTGTTATATTTTGCTGCCAGCTTCAGCATCTCACACTGCTAGTAAACAGGGCTCCCCATAGCCCTGGGCCACGTCGTGCACCATGCACTGCCATTGCCACATTCCCTGTGTACACAGCTGGCAAACAGAAGCCAGGCTAATGAAGGGGTTGCTGGCTTCCTCCTTTTGGCTGGGGAAGAGGGCGGTAACAGCAGCACATCCCTCTGCCTGAACTCCCAACATTCACCAGGAGCAGGTGTGACCAGGTGCCTGTCTACACATCATTTACAGTCACATTTGACGCTACTGTGGAGATTTCAGAAACCCTTCCTGCACATTCTGTACAGATCAAGAACCAGATAAAGTGCCCCTCCTGTCCAAAAATAACCATAACCAGTGCAGAGCAGCAGGTCAGTCCACAGACGCTCTGCTCTACCATACACATTTCTTTGTTTGGCCAAGTCTTGACATACTGAACATATGTAAGGACCACAAGGCATCCATACAACACAAGAGCTGGAAGAAGGTGGCAGGGAGAATTATTGCCTTATTGTGATAGGGAGCTGAGGACAGACCCACAAGAAACATCATGTACCCTTAGTTGCATCATTCAAGGAAGCTACTTACCTCTCCTGAAGAAATCCACACGAGGTTTCATACACGGAGAAGTGCATGTAAGGCACTCAAACAGCCTTTTGTACTCAATGTGTTCACAGGTACGTGTTCAGTTATTCCCATACACTGCAAAACCTAGAACTCTACACTCAAGTGTTTTTCAAATCAGAATCAAGCCAACTCCTTCAACCAAAAAAACCTGCTGAAGCTCTTGATTCTTTAAATTGTTGATTGCCATCAACTTTCAGACACAGAGTATGAGAGATGGCATCCGTTCAGAACACTTGCCTATTCTTAAGCAAGGAATGTTGAGAAAGTTACATCCAGGATACAAAAAAAACCATTAATTTGCCAGTGGAGGGAGAAGGATGTAGGCAAAACCCAAGACTTCCATGAAGAACCAAAGAGAGGAACCCTCAAAGCAAATTAGGCCCCAGGTGGTATGGACAGCTGGAACTAACAGCTGTGGACAGAGAAGTCAGAACTAAACTCATGATATATATGATTACTTCAGGAATTACCTCTGTCCTTAATTTCATTCCACAGAGTATGGTAAGCATAGTATGCCCAGGCTTTTTAAATTACCACGCTCATGGAAAAATAAATGTTTCCATATGCAGTTCCAGGGGTAAGAAGAGGCTATCTATGGGATAAATAAATGGCAGTTCTGTCTTGTGGAACTGAAATCTTATTCCAAATAAACTTCAACTAAAAGCTGCCCTCCAACAAGGGAAACCTGTAATTTCTTGTTTTTCCCCAATCCGAATAAAATAATTTTGCTTCCAGAAGTAGTTTTACTGGATGGGTTGAGATAATGACTCAATGTAGAACCACCCTCCACCTGAACAGAACACCTCTGCCCTGAAATAATGGCAGAGATCGACTGATCACAGCTATTAAGATACATTTAAAATATCAAGGGAATTCCATACAAGGTAGTTCCAACGAAGATAGGATTTCATGCCTTCAAAACAAGGTAGTCATAGGATACATTAAATGCAGATTTGCAATATTTTAAATACTGTTTTTTTAGGTACAAGAATGTGCAAGCATTGCTTTTCCTCATAAGGCAGGTGGGCTCACTGATGTGTATCCATTCATCCATTTGGAAGTGGGTCACAGCATTAGCTGATCAGAACAATCATTTACTTCCACCATCAAAGCAGAAAACCCTTCCAGAGGAGACATCCATCAAGGGAGTTCAGACTCCTTACACAGGAATATGGAAATCCAGAAGGATGCTGCTTGTGAGCACTTCAAATGCAAAAAATTAAAGGCAATGGGCACAGTCGGGTATATTATAATTCTAAATACGTGTTCCTCCAAGTACATACCATGTCACAGCCTGAACTGCAGGAGACACCAGGAACTTTCACATCTTTTCTGAAGTGTTAAGTGACTCCATTACATTTTTCATACCTTCTTGCTGGCTGCATGAGAAGCATTCTCCAAGAACATTCAGGCTGACACTGCCATATGTGAGAGCTCAGAAGAAACAGCAGAAAGTAATTCTGATAAATCTTTTATAAAAGTAAACCAATGAGAAATAGCAGTAAAATGTTTAATGCCTATAATTTATTGTATACATACTCTGCAAAATTTATATGCATTTGGTGTGTGCTAAAGTATACACTTCCTTGACAGCACCAGAGCAGGTAAGCTATGTATGAGTTTTTAACCTGATTTTGTCACATTGTGTAAAAAGACACTGTGCACACATGATATCCCCAAAGGAAAAAAATCATTGGCTAAAACCAGAAGCACCCTTATTTACACACTAACACTTTAATATTGCATCACACCCACTCACCAAAATAAATAGAAGTACATTCACCACAATTTAAACACCAGTCTCTCCATATATTTATTTTCTGACAAGTTTTGGTCTCCAGAAATATGCTATATCTAGAAATATGTATCAGCTACTAGATTATGTTACAAAATGCAAAAAAAAAAAAAATAGAAAATTAGTTTTCCTGGACAATATTTTGGGCTTTACACAAAAATAAATCCAGATTTCCATAGAGATTTCATATACTTCTTGAAAGATTTTTATTTTAAAGCACAGCACAGAGTTGCACACTAAGGCTTCCTGTGATATGCAAAACCCTGGCCTCCAAAAGACATAGCTGTAAAGTGAAATACAGCTCAAGTGTAAATACAAGACATTTTCAAAAAGTAGTCATCAATAGAAAGTGCCCTTCATTTGATTTAGCATTAGCAGTAAAGAAGTAGCTACCTTAATTGTGCAATCAAAGCCAGACCTGGAAGGGTTTTATGAAAAGTATGTCATTTCACACTCTCAAGTTTAAGGATATAGAATCTGAGATAGCAGAAACCAACCTTTTCATCCTCCTACATTCATTATTTTTTGACACAATTTAGTAAAAAGGCACATTGTCAAACAGTGAATTAAAAATCTAAAAACCAAACCAGAATTTCCTTAAATACAATTAAATTAGCTGAACATCCAATCCCAATAGACCAATGTAAGCATTCTTCCAGTTTTTCTTCACCTCAAATTCAGATGCACTTTGGAAGTACTGAAATACTGTCATTAGATGAATACTATTAATCTGGCAAACAGTAAACAAGTTTTTGGATACAAGGTCAGGAATTTAAAAACTAGTTTAGTTCCTTCCTAGCTGACATACAAATATGCAACAAATATGCAAGCACATTAAAAGCCAAACATTTGTACAAAATAGGAAACCCATCAGCATCCCATGCCAATTATGAGAAAGTACTTCTTGACTGTAAAATTACAAATGTGTCCTTGAATAATTTTTCATATGAAATAGACAAAACTTAAGCAATGATCACTGTGTGAAGAAAGTTATACAGTGTCTTAGGGAGGCTAGCAGAGTACATTCCAGTCACCATCTAAATGACAAAGTGCTTTACAGATTAAGAAGTTTAACTGATCTTGCATGGTTAAATAATTGGAAAGTGATGAAATAATCAGGTTTTACTTAACCTGTACTTGTCTGAAATGCAGATTTCTTTCCCAACTGAATCAATTTCAACTTAATATATTTCTTTTGCTTCATAAGAGACTTTTTTCTCCCCAACCAGGCAGGAAGTTGCTCACAGATGATATAGCTGTCTGGGTTGATGGACCTCGAGTCTTTCTCCAGCTAAAAAGAATAAGAAAGTACAAACCCAGAACTTGATCATGGTCCCAAAGTCCATTGTCCTGAATGGGTAATTCTAGAAACCAGGAAATCTCCAACAGGAGATCTGAGATGGTCCCAATGCAGCAGAGAATACAACACGCTTCTAGACAGTGAGGCTACACTATCTTGCATGGTCTCAAGTGCGTACACTGAAAAACAGTTTTTGTTAGTTAACAGAGAAAGTTAGAGCAACAATGGTATCCTCACCTGGGCTCCATGTCAGCCAATACTGAGACAGTCTAGAGAATCTGTACCAGTAACTTACATCAGTATTTGCTGAGGAAGTGAAATGGCACACCATTGACAGAAAACATCTTAAAAAGGCAAAGCTGTTTTTTCTCACATTAAGAATCAGATGTTTAAACTTCAGCAGCTTCCAAGACTGTTCCTTACAGGTTGCTATCTGAACTGCTTCTTAGAACCAGCACTGTTAAGAGTAGCCCCAGTAGGAAAGGTCCTTTTGTTGTTTTTCCACAAGGTAATTTTTCCTTTTTCCCCACCCCCAACCAATGCCCAAAGCTCTTTTTCTACTTTTTGACCTATTCCTAGCATTAAAACATAATGGCCTGAAGCAGCTGAAGGCAGATGCTACCAATGGAGTCCTGGAGCTTGAGGCAAAGCTGAGCAGTGACACTGGTGAGCTTTGGAGGGCAGCTTGGGGAAATCCAAGTAGATGCAACACCAGATTTGAGCTTAAGGTCTCAGTGCAACTCCTGTCGACTTACATGAATCCTGTGCTGATTGTAAACAAATTCAGTTACTGAAACAAACAGTCTTTAAATGCATAGTTAGAAATAATGTGCAAATATGGGCATTAAGGTAAGTAACTGAACTAAGTCTCCTGCTATACATATTTATTTTGGGTTTTTGGCTTGCTGAAATCAATCACAAGTATTAACTAGTTAACATAATGTTAATACTGAAAAGCTGCAAATGCATTCTAACAGAACTTGTCTGATGTTCTTTCTTAACAGTAAAACTAATTAGATAAATGACTGCTTCACATTTTAAATAATTTAACCATCGGATGTTTAATGCAAGAAAAAACACAGTTTGTAAAGCAGCAGAAGCTGTTAAATAAATCTGAAAATTTACAGGGCAGGAGAAGAATTCCCAAGCATATGCTTGAGCCCAAAAGCACAGGTTACATACAAACACTAGAAATTTCTGTTTCCAGGGTGTGTGTTTCTCATACTGAATTAGACTGGCACTGGAATTCCAGACACAGCAAAAGCCAACATAATCTTTTGGCCATATCCATCACTGCACAGTTTGCAAATGACATGCACTTTTCTGTTTAGAAATAAAGAGGTTCAAATTATTTTTATGGGTCCTCAGTTCTAAAGATCTGCAGCACTTTATTGCCTTAAACACCTGTGGGCTGTGGCTGAATTTACACCCAAGCTACTGTTGTACAGATGACATTTTAACACTTTGAGGCTCAGGTTGGGAAACAGGGCAGGATATAGAACAATCTCTCCAAGTCTCAAGAAATATCAGGGAAGAAGAATGCTATTCCTTACTTTCAAGTGAATGCAAAATTGGTTTACTGGTACGTGGCCCACGCAGTTCCAAGTCAGTGCATAGCTAGTCAATATTTCTGCTGGCATCTTGAACTGGTTAAATCAATGGAAACATCTATTAATTTTATTCCATTTAATATGCATTAGTGCATTGATTTCTTCATAAAAAACCAACCCTGGCAAGTATTAAAAATAAATATCTTATTTAGGTCAAGCTAAAGCCTTGCTTTTCAGTACTTTAATCCCTTTAAATATTCTTTTGCCCTCTAACAAGCAAATGGAAACTGAAGTAGAATAAGAGATGTATGGAGGCAGAGGGGAGCAGAAACATGAACCAAGTCAACACCATAAGTCAGTTAACGTGTCCTCAGCTTCTTAGACTGTCTCTTGCGTTTCAGTTCTTCTTCTTCCCGTCTCAGCTCTTCCAAGTCTTCCTGAACACCGAGTCTCAAGCTGCCAAACAAGATGAAATCCTTTACACTGCTGCTCAAGACACTTGAGGCTTTACTTCTACACACCCAAAAGGCAATGCTAAAAGTACTACAGCTGATTTGAAGAATAATTTCATATCAGCTCTTCTTTAATTACAGAATGAATGCAGCTTTAAGAAATCAACTTTTTTTTTTAATCATATGATCAGAATCAAGTATTTCAAGGGAAAAATATTTAAAACTTCTGTCAAAAAATAAAGATGGTATTAAAAAATAATGAATGTAATATATAAGGTCTTTTTTCCTCCCAAAAAGCAGCTATTGAAACACATCCATTGAAAAAGTAATATTGAATTTAACTCAAGTTTCTCATCTCCACTTCCTTTATGCAACGTGTAGTTAAAAGTGAGTCAGGAATTCAACTCTACAAAATCTCACCCTAAGATGTCAACGGAGTTTTGTTACCAGCAATCACTTTAAAGTTCCATTTATTTCTCCTAACTCCTCCTAACAGACTATAGCTTTCCATGGGCTGCAGACAGTCCTCAGGAGCCAAAAAGAATAAAAACACTGACTGTAACTTCAAAGATGCAAGTTTCTAATGTTCAAGGCACCTTCTGAATAATCATATAGAAACTTCAGTAGAACCAAAGAATTTGGTGACTCCATGCATTCCAATATTTGCATTTTCTATAGAAAACCCTTATAGCTTTCACAAACACTCATTTAAAAACAAATAATCAGCTTATCTCTTAAGAATTCTGCAAGCCCAAAGGCCAAAACCAACATGAAAATATCACCTTCATAATTTAAATCAGTGACTATACAAGCTTGTCAGCATACTTTTTATACTTCTATAGAAATAGACATACACACATATAGATAAAAACAAATAAAATTTCCAGACCTCAAACTGGCAGAATATTGTAATGCTTGGGACCAAATAAAGAATATGGAATTTCAAATGAAATGTATAACTTATAAAATATTTTTTGAAGTGAATTGGTTTTGGTTCTTATTAGTTCTTAACAAGCAAGGTTTGTGATAGATAAGGACATACATGACTTAGTGTATCCACCACTGGCTGCATGAATTCCATCTTTTACTTAATTTTTCTTATAAAAAATTGTAAGGCTTGCTGTTAAAAGCAGAGTGGATATTCGCTAGCTTAGCCCTATGACTTCAGCAAACAAACTTTGCAATTTGTATCCAAGTTCAAATCCATGCATACCTCCTAGCTTCTTCTTTCTGTTGCTCTCTCCAGCTGCTCTCCATATAACGTAAGGCATAATCACTTTCATCTTTGTACCTGAAAATTAAATATCAGTTTGTAGCATATTAAAAAATAGGTAATGAATTAATATCCCTTCTTAGGAAGAATAATTACTTGCTCTACTGCTTGTTGTACAGTATCTTACAATTGTTACTTCTCTTACCTTTTCCGGTCATAGCCAAATATTTCCCGAATGTGTTTTGATATTTCTTCTTGAGGTTCCCCTTCGTCTTCAATGAAGTCATCCATTTCAGAGTCATATTCATCATCATCATCATCTTCTATTTGTCTTTTGTAACTAATAGGTGGTCTTCCAAGACCTAAATGACAGGAGAGAATAAAAACATTAACTAATAACATGCACACAATTTTAATTTAACAGTACTTCTCCTTGCTGTACTTTGGGTGTAGCCATTTTCTGGGCTTCATGGTGGAAAACGTCTGCCTCAGGTTAACCAGCATTTCTTAGAAATTCAGCAAGAGAGAATACTTCCTGAGTTGTGCTAGAGGAGATTAGCTATCAGGATCGGCAATGGCATCCTGAGGAATAGGATAGCTCAGCAGATATCTGTTCTCTGCTCATGGCTTTCCAGGCACTTATTCACTACACTCCACACTGCTTGCTCCTGATCAGAAATGAATTTTTACAACAGCTTGCCACTGATAAGACAAATCTGCCAAAACACTGAAATGTAAGACCTGTGAGTGATTTTTCATCTAGTCCTTCAAGCATCTGTTATTTAGGACACAACAAATTTTTATAGACCAAATATAAAGCCATGCTGGAAGCAAATCCTTCAGTTCTTTTCCTTCTAACAGCATTCATATACCAGTATCCATCACAGGCTGCCTAGTTTTCTTTCATGGGATACTTCACACCACCTGTATTTCAAAAACTACAAGCATAGGTAAAAATAAGTAAAATAAATTAAAAGCTGCTATGTTTAATTTTGTTTCAATTAAACTGTTCTTATCTGAGTTTCACTTGGGTTTTTTCCAATTCTTCTCCCCACTGGGAGACAGGGCGGGCATGCAAGCAGCTACACAGTACTTAGTTGCCCATTAGAGTTAAAGCACAACAGTGGAAAAAATGCTTTGTTCTACAAATGCATACCTTGTGGATGAAGAACAGGTCTATGCCCTGGAAAAGGTCTCATTCCATTCATCTGTCCATTGCTAGGTCTTGTGACGAGGTTTTTAGAAGAAATGGTTTCTGACACAACAGTACACTTGGGTTTCACAGCTGTGCCTGGGCTGCTGCCTGGTCGTGCAGATCCTGCACTTGTGCTGATGCCCGGCCTCCCTGGGCCAGTGCCCAAGCTGCTGCCTGGTCGCTTGGCTCCTGTGCTTGGACTGATTCCTGGCCTTCCTGGTCCTGTTCCCAGGCTGCTGCCTGGCCGCCCTGGTCCTATGTTTGTGCTGCTGCCCGGCCTTCCCGGTCCAGTGCCCAAGCTGCCGCCTGGTCGCTTAAGTCCCACGCCTGAGCTGCTGCCTGGTCGCCCAGGTCCCGTGCTCGAGCTGCTCATCGGCCTTCCCGGTCCCACGCCTGAGCCACCTCCCGGTCGTCCAGGTCCTGTGCTTGAGCTGCTGCCAGGCCTCCCAGGTCCCGTGCTTGAGTTGCTGCCAGGCCGCCCAGGTCCCGTGCTTGAGCTGCTGCCCGGCCGCCCAGGTCCTGAGCTTAAACCACTTCCTGGCCTTCCCGGTCCCACGCCAGAATTGCTGCTTGATCGTCCCGGTCCTGCACTTGAACCACCACCGGGATGTCCAGGTCCTCCTTTTCCTAAGCTGCTGCCAGATCGTTTTGCATTGGAGTTGATTCCATGTTGAAGAGCCACAGGTTTTCCTGGTTTTGCATGGACAGACTTTTTCAGGCTGGATTCTTTCACAGATGGCATTCTCTGAGCCCCATTGGCCGTGGGTTTTGAGGGTGGCACGTGAGAACCTGAGCCAGACTTTCTCATACCATTGACAGGTAATTTATTATGACTGCTACCAGTAGAGCTTTTTAAGGAACCATTTTGTGAGGTTTTTTCCATTTGATCAAGTCTGGAAGAAGATGACGACCGTGGGTGTTTTTCAGTCAATGCTGGTGTTTTGGATTTCTTATCAATACTACCCATAGAAAGCGATAGACTGCTTTTAGATGTGGAATGTTTATCTACGGAGCTTTTATTTTGTTTTGTGTTTACAGATGCTTTTTGAGAAGACAGTTTTTTTGAAGAACTGGATATCCCTGTAGGCTTAATCTCCTTCTCACTTTTCTTATGCATTTCTACTTTTTTGTTTTTGCGTCCCAAAAGCTCCCTCTCTCTCAATTCTTCTGCTGTTCTGGGCCTCTCTTCTACCTTTTTCACTGGTTTTATTTCCACCGGTTCATATTGTTTCTTTTCAGCAAGCCTCAAGAGCTCTGCAAAGTTCAGAGGTGCTGGTGCACTTTTGGGAGGTGCCTTTGGTTTCACTGCAGCTTTGGATGGCTTCTCTTCATACTCTTCTTGCTCATGCTCAGATTCCGTCTGACTGTATTCAAGTTGCTCAGTTTCATCTTCTGTTGCATACTCAGCCTCTGAGGCCTGAGCAACATTCTCACAAGCCCTCCTCTTTTTAGGCTTCTCTTCAACAGGAACACCATTATAGCCATAAAAATTATCCTTTGTTCGTGAGGCCATAGCTCTTGCCTTTCTGTCATGTTTCAGTTCAATACGCCTCGCCAAGAGCTGCTCTTTCTTCCTTCTTTCTTCCAGTGCTGCAAGAACACCAGGAGAAAGTTAAGCAAAAAGCACTACTTTTTATGTCAATATTTTCCAAACTAACAAACCACTTAGGACAGTAACTTAAGGATATCTGGCTAATAGCTATCCAAAATAGACAAGAAAGTGACCCCAGGTCTGCCAACACCCTCCTGTGTCAGCTGCTCCAACAAAGGCAAGCAATTGAGTGAAATGCTGCTCTAACAAAACCCACTAAGGCTTTCTGAGGGAAGCAGCTTTCCAGGATGCTATGAAAATTGTGGAGAACCTTTGTATAAGGAGGTACAGCAGTTATGGGATCTCTGTGTAGTGGATGGAGTTCCGAGTCTGAGCAAAAGAATCTTGCAACTATACAGAGCTTACAATCAAATGTAAGGGAAGTTGAGGAAGGGGAGAGTATTGGGAAGATAATAACTGGAAAGTAGCCAAAGTGTGTGTCTGTGTAGAGGGATATAAGGGACACACAGAAGCAGCTGAACCCAGATAAACAAGCAGCTGGTCATTACACAAGTGTGATAGGGCACAGGACTCTATCTCCACAGTCTGTCCTATATCTTTACTGTTCTGGCTTAGCTGTTTTCTGCATAAGTATGCTCTCTCTATCTTGTGTCTGTGACCGGCTGACAAGAGTCAGGATGAACTAGCTGGTGAATGAGACCTCTAAATACCAAATACCAGACAGACCAAGGAGTAAGGACTAAATACCAAAAAGATTCAGAAAATAAAAATTCCTAGAAAATGGATCAGGCTGCTCATATTTTGGGTCCCTATAAAGGTACCATTCCTTGTCTGTGTTATTCTATTGTCAAGGGCTGTGACAGCACAGAGTGTACCAGCATGCTCCATGTGGAATTTGTGCCTAATCTTGCTTCTGGACCTGGCAGCAGGATTAAGAAACAGTCATGACTGGCCCAGGAGAGGAAGCAATAACCTGGGCCATCCAGTCCATCAGATTTGGTTACCTTTAACAAAACATCAGAAGCAATGCAGTAATAGTTTATACCACAGACTATTTAAAGGAAGTACAAAAGTGGAGAAATCATGTCTCAGAGACTCTTTAAAATTCACTGTATTGAAACAGTAGATTAAGACAGAACAAAGGCAACTCTTTCCATTTTTCACACAGATGAATTTTTCACAGCTAAGCTAATGAAAGTTGAAATAGTTTTTTGCCCTTCACCTTAACTGCTTTCTCAATCTCCAGCCATAAATCCTAATGTAGCTGAATAATGTTTTAACCCCTTAGGAAAGCAAGTAAACATCCCCAGCCCTTACTTAGCTCTAGCTTTCTCTCAGCATCAGGTCTACACATAAATTTCTGAAACAGATGTGCAGCTGTATTTGCAAGAAATTTTAATAAGGTGACAAATAGCAAAGAATAATTTCAAGTCTCCCATAGGAGATATTTTGTACTTTTACCTTTTTTTCTCTTTTCTTCTTCTTGCCGTCTGAGAAATGCTTGCACTGCTGCAGACTCTACACCCTTGACTTTGGGAACTTTTTTGGGAGGCCCAACAGCCAAACTGTACCTTTTCTGCAAAGAACAAAGAAATATGTCAGAAGAGTTAAGAAATGTAAAAAATCAGTCTTTAAAACTGAGGAGTTGCATAACAGTCCTGTACTTGACTTAAGCACAGAGATGGTACAGAGTAAACAATGAATTCCCACTGAAACTGAGGGTTGTGCTGGATACATTTGACTCACAGTTGTACTTTTAGGCTGAGCAACCAGCCCCAAGTCCTTGGGATAAACTTGCAAGCTAGAAAGTGCCTGGTCCAAGGGAGTAGATGTGTCTTGACAATTTTTTTCTCTTCATAATCATCAGAAAAGCAAGATAACCAAAGTCCAGAACAAGATATCAGCACTAATTCCCACTGAAACTGAGGGTTGTGCTGGATACATTTGACTCACAGTTGTACTTTTAGGCTGAGCAACCAGCCCCAAGTCCTTGGGATAAACTTGCAAGCTAGAAAGTGCCTGGTCCAAGGGAGTAGATGTGTCTTGACAATTTTTTTCTCTTCATAATCATCAGAAAAGCAAGATAACCAAAGTCCAGAACAAGATACCAGCACTAAGATAAGGACATTTGTCTTGTCCATATCATTGGCCAGCAGCCAACTACTTCACCCTATAAATATTGCTATCACGATGAGCCTGATTTGAGCTCTGCCTGAACTGCAGCTTAACTGGATGCCAGGTAACCCCTGAGCAGGGATGCCTCTCAGGGTTAGACATTCCTTACCTGAAACTAAGAGAGCCTTCCTTACACAAGGTGGAAAGATTCCTTACTCATGACAGATCCTCAGTAGGTGACAGAGGATGTTGCATTAGTATTATGAAACATTACTAATTCATCCACCCCATATTATTACAAACACTGTATGCATAATTCCATTAGATTTATACCATTGACCAAGCCTGAGACTAAGAATGGATCCAGCCACTCCAAACTGAGTTTAGAAAGCAAGGAGTCCACTCAGAACTTTGTGTCTCAACAGGACTGTGCTTCTTGCTCTTTGCATTGCCAGTCCCTGAGAATTATTCTAAATGAGCTCATAAATTAATGAGCTCATTAATTTAATTAATCATTAATTTTTTTGTATGTTTCTTCCATTAACTAAATAATGAAATGAATCTTGCATAAACTTATTAAACCTTGTCAACCCCTGTTGAACTTTGTTAAATTCCAGTGAATTGTCAAATCATTATTTTATCTCAAAACACATTGCTGCCTATCTTTTGAGTGCAATACATTCACATGGAACCACCCACAATATGTGGATACATCCACAAACGGGCTCACTCAGCTTTTGGAATGAATGAACAGGAAACCACAAGACAGGTAGGGAAACAAAATGAGTGAAATGAACTGGACTAATAAGGAATGCAATGGCTGCATTAGTAACGGAATAAAAGGAATTCAGTTCAGCCTTAGTCTTTGACCAAGAGGAACCAAAAGCAAACTACAGCCCGAGCTGCCAGAGTCAATTAAATTCCAGACTGCAGGTTTACAGCTCCATTTTTAGCTTGCTTGTAGACACTCATTTCAGTTTCAGGTTACCGAATTCAGCAAAAATAGATAAATCAACTCAAAAAATTGAATTACTCCAAAAGCTGAAATGGACTTTACCAAAATAATAAATAGGCTCACGTAAAACCAACAATACTGATTTTAGTTCCTGCTGGCAGTGACCTTAAACACAATACTGCCGTACATCAAGGAGTTAGTGACCCACACACCAGCTGACCTGAAACTCTACTTATCACCTGAGATCAGTGTGACCTCAGCACTGACTGTGAGAGAATACACAGCCCCCACCTGGCACCTGGGAATTACAGCACTTGCACGTGGTGTAATTTGCCAGGAGAGGAGAAGGCTCCAGGCAGATCTTGTTGCAGCCTTTCAGTACTGAAAGGGAGCTTATAAGAAAGATGGGGACAGTTTTTAGCAGAGACAGCAGCAATAGGACAGGGGATATTGGTTTTAAACTAAAAGAGGATAGATTCTGACTAGAAGTTTGAGGGGAACAGTGAAACACTGGCTCAGATTGCCAGGAGAGGCTGTAGACCCCTCAACCCTGGAAACATTCAAGGTCAGGTTGGAAAGGGCTCTGGGTGACCTGATCTCTTTAAAGATGTCCCTGCCCATTGCAGGGGAGTTGAACTAGATCACCATTAATGGTTCCTAGTCTATGATTCTATATCTCGCTATATCCTGAGGTGAAGCTGCATGTTTTCATGTAACATCCTTTTCCTTGGCAGAGGAAATAATTGTGCTATTAACTTCCCAGGACATCCTGCAAAAGCTCTAAAGACTACAACACTGATTACATGCACCACAGCCAGGATTTGCACAGCTGGCCATGCTTAAAAGTATGTCCAGAGCTCTTCAACCTGGGGTTCTGGCAACTGAACAGATGTAAAGTTATCTATGCTACCCCCTTTTTGGCTTCTCTTATACCCAATAAAAGTTACTTAAATCAGTGTTAAGTGCCCAAGTGCCTCTTACTGGGTTCTATAACAACCACTTGCACTAGTGTGCTGTTCAGACACTGCCTTTCACAAATGTACCAGGTTGTGCCTGAAATGGGAAAAAAAGAAATTTTTTTAACTTCTTCCCACAAACAAAATACAGAAGAAAAAAACAAAGCAATGAGAGAGACAGTTGTAAAGATAAATACAATAGAAGGCAGTTGAACCCAGAAGCAGAAGGAAAGCAGAATATATTTAGGAATAAAAGAAACTCTAATCCAAAACTGAGGTTTGAGAGGGCGGGGCTTTTTGCTTATTTCAAAAGTAAGCCAACAGACTAAAATCTGAACCAGGATCTCCCCCATGAGACATTAACATTCTCACCAAATGAAAGAGATGTGAAAAAAGACCCAAATAAAAAAAAGTATCACTAAAGAGCCACACAAGTCAGCATTTCTATAAATACCTTTCTGTCCTCATAAAGCTTTATGAAACTTAACTAAAATAATCAAAACAAAATATCTGGTAAGGAAACCTACATCCAAATGTTTTAGAAGCAATAATCAGAAGGCTGGCAGCCTAACTCCCTATAAACATCAATATCACACAATGGAAGCCTTCATTCTCATTTCTGATTCATTGATCAGCAGCACATGAATAATCTTGGATTACTTTAATTACTAACATGCAAACCCATAAATTAGCTTGAATGTATATGCACTAAGAAGCAAGGTTTGGAGGCTCATTTCTAAGCTGCATCCAAAACTGGCTCCAAGAAGGGCAGCTACGATACCAGCCACTTGTAGTCTTCTCAAGCAGTTTCTGAAATGACCAGAGCACAATTACTAAGGTGCACCATCCACATACATTGCATATTAAAACCTGCCATCTCACCTCATCACATGAAATACCTGCTACAGCCAAGCTCATTTACTGAGCTTCACCTCTCTGCAAGGAAGTTTACCACAACCGGAGAATCGATTTCCCTGTTTGCACCAAAAGTGTTCCAGGACTTGACTGCTCAGGAAACCTGAAGTGCCATGCAGCACTGCCTCTCAGCTTTTGCTCAAATGTGGCCCATGGCTCTGTGTCCCAAAGAAATCTGGTTTACTCCATTTGAACTGGAACAGACAGAGAGGCAAAGCAATCCATACATTATCAGTCGAAATCCTGTCAGAAACTGGAGGAAGCAAATTAGTACCTCAGAAATTATTTGTAGTACTTTGTAGTATACTCATCTTAATATAATGATGTCTCTGTAAATTATCTTACAAAGTTAAACACATCATGTTTTGCCATTGGTAACCCAATTTGGCAAAGCTTCATTTAATTATTCCATTTCAACTGTGCCCTCAGTTTTGAAAATTCTGTTTTAAAAACTGTGTAGTTCTCAAGCACCTTTTCCAGCCTAAATGATTTTGTGCCTAAGGAGCACCTTTGGAAACTGCTAAAGGGCAGACAAATGTAGATTGATCTATTCTGTCAGGAAATCTTATAAAGAATTAAAGTAATGGGGAAGCAGTTTTCAGGCTTTGTTTTGCTGCACTGTGACCAACAGCCCTATCCAGGAGCAGGATTGTAAAGTAGCTGGACAGACAAGCTCGTTTCTGACTGTTGTTAACATAACAAATCATGCAAAATTTAAATTAAAATTTCCAATCAGTAGCATTTCTTAATATTGACTAACAACAGAAAATACAGCAAAACAATTCATAAATGAATATCCATTTTCTGTACTATTGCTGATACAAGTCTTGCTCACTTTCATTCAGTAACAGCATAAAATAACCTGCTGAACTGTAGCCTTTCTAAAAGCACTGAACCATACACTCATTCTGCAAACACTAATAAAGTGTTTTATGTGCAGTGCAAATGAATATGCATCAGACTGCAGGTAAAGCAGGCCAAATAAGCCAGCACACGTCACTATACCATCCAAACAGCAGCTGCACTACTGAGGCTTTCAATAAATATTGCTAAGTTGGTTAAATCAACAGAGGAATAGAAATGTTTAGCCTTTAGGAAAGAGCAGGTCATGCTGTTCCCAGAACACTGCACTCTTCGATCTGTAAACAGTGACTATTTGCTCTGAAGTCACTGACTTCCTTCAAAATGTGGCACATGATCCTGACAGAGTTGTAGCTACTTTGATGTCAGCATTCAAGAACCAAATCTTGGACTACAAAACAGAATTTATAAAATGATTGCATACTTTCTGGCTCCCAAATGAAGCCCCAAGGGGCCTAGACCAAACACCAGTACCAGCCAGAAGTAGCAGTAGTAGTATTGCCTTTAACAATGGTCAATATTTACACAGTTGGCAATGCAAGATGAATGCAAGTGATCAATTCTGCCAAACCCAATTCTCAAGCAGAGCACCTGAGCAGCTCAGTTACTAAAATGGGCTTGCAGATGCCGTGCAAAGACAATTCCACTTGCGTTATCCACTGCAGGCGACTTGCAGGGGCTCTCACAGACTGAGGAGATTTTTATTTGCTTGTTTTTCACTAGCATGTTACAACACTTTGCCTGTTCTTCACAGATCATTTCTTCCTTACCATTTGTTGTTCTTCCCTATCATTTGCCAAGACATGTAACCTTCTCCAATGGGAAGTCCCCGTTTCCCCCCAAATATTCTTCAGGGTTGTCTTAAGTTGCAATGCAAGATGTAACCAGAACTAAGTACTCTATCACCATCTGTTGCAACCGGGTGGGGCAATGTTCTTTATCTCTTCCACCACCCATCTTCCATCAGAGAGATATCTGCTGTCAATGGGCCATTGAGTCCCACCCGTGATTGATAAAATTACATCATCTCATTGTGAGATGCTCTGCCCATGGGGAGGAACCAAGCATTCCTACCTGGATAAAAATCTGAGAATTGGTACACCAGGGGAGCCTTTTTCCACTAAATTCCCAAAGGAAGACCAGGCCCATCTACACCACCACTGGACCTTCAAAGAAAAACTACATCCTTCTGTAGGATCATTGCTTCAACAGAACCACACCTGTCACTGCAGGAGGACTGCAGCCACCATTTATTCAGACTGCTACCAACACCCTGACCCACAGGGTGTCAGGTTGTATTCTGACTCTGTCAGTGTTTTTTTTGTATTACTGCATTTTTATTTTAATTTTCCTAGTAAATAATTGTTATTCCTATTCCCATATCTTGGCCTAAGAGCCCCTTAATTTCAAAATTATAATAATTCAGAGGGAGGGGATTTACATTTTCCATTTCAAGAAAGGCTGCTGCCTTCCTCAGCAGACACCTGTCTTTTTAAAACCAAGACAAGGGTATAATTTTCTGAGAACATCAAGAATGGTTCATCCACCACACACATCCTTGTTTGTGTCAATGCCAGTCCCTCAAAAGACAGCTTTCCACATTGTAAGTGGCCATTTGTGTTTGCTGCCCAGGGGCCTCTGCCCTTCATCCTGAACTGGTATTTCCAAAGCTTCTGCAGCTGACTCTGCAGTGAGACTGTCTTAGAACACACACACACACACACACACACACACACACACACACGGTGATTTCGCAATTGCTGTTTTCAATTTCTGGTTGTGACAAAGTAAATAGTTTAAATGTGCTTCATTTCAGGTCCTAACAACTCCTACCAGGAGAAAGATAAAATGCTCAGCTTATCCGCTCACACTGTTCTCCTCTCCCAAAACCAATCCAACAGGTTCATACATTTTATTCCTAAAAAAGCAAAAATTATTTTCTTCCAATTTTGCAACTGCTGCCACAACACCCAAGCAGAACCCTTAGCTGGAAAAAAAAAAAAAGCAAGCAGATTTCTTCTATGAGAAGTCAATTCACAGAGGCGAAAAAAAAAACAAACAAACAAACAAAAAAAAACCCAACTTCATGTTTTCCTTTCTGTAGTGGTATTGTGGTCCCCATTTTCATCTTCTTTTGCCAAAAAAAAAAAAAAAAATAGAGACCAGGAATAGGAAAAGCTGGAAATTTTACTAGTCAGCATTTAAACCTCAACAGTGTGGAACTTTACTATCAGGTCAGTCAAGTTGAGAGCAAAAGCCCTCCCCAGCCCTGCCAACAATTCACATTGTGTATCTTGCAGTTCCCTCCTGTGGAGGCTGATGCAATCCAAATAATTTTAGCCCAGTTTTGAGGCCAATTTTAAACACACAATAAATGCACACACATCAATCGATGGGAGTCTGCTCCTACAGCAGCAATCTGCACTTGACAGCCATTCCCATTATTTCTCATGCTGGGCTTCTCTTGCCTGCGGGCAAACGCTCGATAATTTGTAGATTAGAATTCGACGGGCAGGCTCCGTCACTCAAGGTCCTCCGAACAAACTCCGGGATTCTGTTAGTGTTTCACTTCACAAATACTGAATTCCTCCTGGCTACTTGTATCTGTCAGCTTCGCTGGAGGTGGCTTTGTGTCAGTCCAACTTACAGTGAGACCTCTCAAGTGCTGACGTGGATGAAGAGTTCTTTCAGTTTTGCATCACCTCTTTGTGGTTTAAATTATATCGCATTTCTGTAAATTCTGTACACCAAAGTTTCACCCTCAGTTAAAAGGAATCGGGAGCAATATGAGATGCTTATACTGTCATTAATAACTTATTAGAAACTAAGGTGAAATAAAATAATGACTTGGTTCCAACTGTCCTCAGGGTTTTCTTTTTTTAAGCTGCAATGAAATTTCATATTTTAAAGAATAGCTACAATAAAAATATCTGAAAGTGCTTCGTCATGTCATGTGAAACACGTGGCATAACACAGTATACCAATTTCACCAAAAAGAGTGACACCTCTCTAAAGTCAACATTAAATCTCCTAACTGTTATCATGTCTAGTCAAAGCAAGACCATACTGAAAATCTGATGAACTGCTAACATGAACACAGGTAACAAAATACAGCAACGAAACTCCTGTGGAATATTAGATAAACCCCAGGGCTCTACTCAGCAACTGCTGTGAAGATGATTAGCACCACATCATTAATAGCTTAGGCAGTAGTTCATATATGCAGTGTCTTATTTAGAAACAAAACCTCATGCAACTAACAAGGGCACCAAAAGGCTGATTTCAGCAATGTTCCTTTTGAATCCGGATTTCCATAGGGAGATGAACAAGCAGATTCGTTTTTACAGGGACATGATGTAATATCAGCTTTATCCAGGCCTCTCTTTTACAATACAAGGCCACATTATTTCTTAGAGTTTTTATGTAGTTTCCACTTTGAACTAAACAGGACCTGTTATAGTATGTATATATATTTATATACACTTTGAACGTACACTACTTGTTCATGTCACTGGTTTTCATTACAAAGGGCATGGAACATTTAGTTAGGTGCACTGTAAAGTTTAAAACAAACTTCTCAGAGAGAAATTCAGAGGATATGCTTGTTAATGCAGGAACTAACATTTCTGGAAACCTGGTAATTTTATATACCAGTAAATGTGTAATTAGTCTATATAGTGTTTTTAATAAAAGTATTTAAAAATAATTATATTCTCCTTATATAAACACATTTAATATACTAGCTTTAACACAGTGGAGCTGTTTAGATGTCCAGTGATTGCAAAGTCTCCATGGGCTCTCTTTTAAAGCCCAGCAGCTGCAAATAGCTTCAAGCAGTGCCAAGTGCAGCTCTGCTTTTGCTCAGACCGGGGCCAACTTCAGAGTTAAAAGCTGCAACACTAATGTGTTAAACCAAACTGTTTCAACTATGGATTCAATTGCACTCTCACTCCATGAGTCAATCACGAATTAGCAAATCCTAACTGCTGCCTTTACTAAAAAGAGTAGCTAAACCCTCATTCATTGCACAAGAAGTGAGATCCCCTCCCTCCACCATCACAGCCACAATGGAGATTATGGCAGATATTTTATCAATTCATCATCACAGATTAAAACTTGTGACAAAAAAAAGTAGTGGTCACACAGTAAAGCTGCATGGGGAAACTGAGAACGTAAAGAGAAGCTTTAAATATCTAAAATAATCATTATCATAACCCAGTGACAACTTAGTGAAACAGCTTAAGACCAACCAAATGGGCATTTAAATATCCTAAAGTATTTCTGTATTTGTTATTTTATTATTCATGTTATGAACCAGATTCCTATGTAGGGTCAGCGACAAATTAAACATGCCTAAATATAAAAAAAGTTGATTTTAAACCCACAATGGAATCTGATTAATTTCACATCCACCATATGGTTGGTACATATTATCAACCGGTCACGCTATTAGTGAGCATTACCGAAGTTTTACTAATGATACAGAGATACTGAGATATTCACTAGTTCTGACACCACCAAAATGAACACACTGTACAGTTGAGAGTATTTTTTGTTCTGATTTTCCCACAGCTTTTGCTAAAAACAACTACCCCTCCTTTACACTGGGTTTAAGCAAACTAATCACAGAAACAGAACTCTGGCAACTCTGTTGAAGAGCAAACATCGTCTCCCTAGCTGGTGGCTACTAAGGAGAAAATATTTTTTATATTCACGCATGACTTTGGGTCCTCCCAGAGGAATGAAACCCAGGAGATGAATGTATGAAAAGGCCACGTGCCCTTCCTCCTGCCAGACTTCATCCAGGCAAGTCAGTGGGTTCTTGCACACGGCATCCACATGTTACTGATAGCCTGAACTAAAACACAAGCTGCGAAGTGCAGCCCTCAGAACAATGTTAATAACATAGCAAAAGCCTTCCGCCAGCCCTCCCCACAGCGCTGTTACACCTTAGTCCTTCGCGGCGCACACCGAGACCCCAGACAACGCAGCCCATTCACCCAAAACTTGTCACTTTGTCTCCGACTCGCACTTGAGACGTGGCAGACTCGCGTTTTCAGAGCGAACAAAAGGACTTGGCCGGCTTTTGGGCACTGCCCTCCCCCGCCCCACGGCTCCGCTCCCGGGAGGGATGTCGGCACTGGCAGGCCAGGAGGGCAAGCCGCGGCCGCCCGCTCCCAGCCCGGGGGTGCCGGCACCTGTTGACAGAAGGGGCCCCGCTCGCCCCCTCCCCGCACACAGACACTTTTCCAGCCCCCAGGAGCGAGCAGCCCCGGCCGGCGAGGCGAAAGGCCCGGCAGAGACAGCGGCGGGCGCTACCCGGGCAGGGGCCGAGGCCGGAGGGGCTCCCGCGGCCGCGGGGCCCTCCCCGGGCCCGACCGCCGCCGCGCCCCGGCCCCGCGCCCCCCGGCAGCCCCCGAGCTCACCGGCACCGCGTTCAGCCCCTGCTGCTCCGAGGCCATCACGAGAATGTTGTGGAAATCCATGGCCAGGCCGGAACACGGGGGGCTGCGGCAGCCGCCCCGCTCGCACTGCCCGCCGCCCCCCGCCCGCTCGGCCTCGCTCGCTTCCGCCCGCTGCCGCCTACCCTTTATATAAGCTCGCCTGGCGCCGGCGTCACTTCCCCTGTGGCGGAGCCTCGCCACGGGAAACGGGGCTGGACGAGGGGAGGGAACGGCGAGATGCGTCTCGGGAGCCCCGCAGGACAGCAGGGCTCGGAGCGGCGGCGGGGGTGGTCTTATGAGACCCCCGGGGCAGCCCCCGCCCGGCCCCGCCCGGCGCTTCTCGCCGCCCCCCGCTCACAGCTGGCGCCGGTGCCGGGATTGTCCCTCCGCCCGCCTCGGCTGCGCCCCTGAACGCCTTAGAGAGAGGCTGAGTGACGGGACAAGGAGTGATGCCTTCAAACTGACAGGCAGTAGGCTTAGGTTAGGTGTCGCGAAGAAGTTCTTTACTGAAAGGGTGGTGAGGCACCGGGACCGCTTGCCCAGAGAAGTTGTGGGTTCCCCATCCCGGGAAGTGGTCAAGGAGTGGTTGGATGGGGTTTGACACAACCTGGTCGAGTGAAAGGTGTCCCTGCCCACTACAGCCCCAACCTCGGCATGGGGATGTGTCAATAAAACATCAAAAATTTGTATTTTCTTCTTTTTTTTCCAATAGCAACTCTTCATTTTTCAGTGACAGAATTGTGGTGGTTTGAAAGGAAAAAGCCTTTGGGGGCAATGACCAGTAGCTCCAAGCACACCCTGACACCTGCCCCCGTCCCTCCTGCATTCCCAGCTGCCAGCTCGTCCCTGAGTGGACATCAGCTAGGCAGAAATCCTGTAACAAAGGAGGAATATGGATTAAGTTTCCTCAGCAATCTTTCTTGGCTTGTCGAGGCTTCAGAGTTGGTGCTTGGTTTGTAGGGGTGTCACAGTTGCTTCAGCAGTGCTCTCCCAACTGCAGGAATACTGCTGGATAAACAGGACTCCCAGGAGCAATACTGACCAGCAGAGTGGCCAAACAAAATGCTCTGTGTGTGTGTATGTTTAAATATTTTTCTAAGTCTGACAAACCAGAAAATTGTGCCAGAACACCGGCTGAATGAAGATTTCCCTTGCATTGGTTACCAGGTCATTTCCTGGATCTGTTATCTGAGATCCATCTGACAAAAATTCCTCTACTCCACACTGCTTCTCCTAGAAATGTGGGCACTGAAAGAAAGCTTTTTTCCTTCATTTAAACCTTCTTTAGCATAAATTGTTTAACACTGCTTGACAACTGGACAACTTTTCACTCTCAGTTCCTCCAGTTCCTTCCTGCCTTTTCCAGTTTCCCTTTGCCTCTCCAGTGCCCTCACTTTTTTGTTGTATCTGATATTCCCTTCTGGGCATAGCTGTAAGTCACATTGTAAGCCTGGTGTAAAGATGCCCAGTGAGGCCTTAGCTGATGGCAGGGACAGAGCAATTTATCTGAGCCAGGCACTGCACCAGTTAATTTGCAGGGCCTTTGTAGTTCTTGAGCACAGGAGATCCAAGTTGTTCCTTTAATGCTTGCTCTGGTGTCTCTGCATGGCGTCAGACTGTGCAGGGTGGAGAGTCCTCCTGACCTACCACTGCTTTTTCTTGGGACAGTCCTGATTCAACCCCTTATCCTGTAAGAACTTAATCCCTCTCACTTTTCCCCTTTTTATTCTCATCTCCATTTGCTGACTTTTTACTTCTGACTCAGACCTGATCACCTCTTCTGGTTCCTGCCCTCTTTGTATTATGTTTTTCTTACTTTAAGACTTCCTAGTGTGGCTCTCTTCACAGGAAGTTAGTGCTTCATCAATTTTCCTCACATTTTTGTCATTGTGTTTCCTTCTGTGCTACTGTCTATAAAGTTGCGATGCTATTTTCTGGCAGTCTTATCTGCTACCTCATCACTGCTGTGGTGCTTTCATCAGAATTTCCCTGCTCCAGCTTGAATTTCTGGTATCTCCACTGTGCCCTTCCTTGAGAGGCTTTCAGTATGACTCAGGTTCCTGTATGACAGCAGTACTGACAGAGCAATGATTGCTCTTTGACTTTTGTGCGTGCTCTCTTTGGTCCACGTTAGAGTTGGCAGGAACATTTGGCTAAATGCAGACTTCATTCTGCTGACCGCGATCCTCAAGATGAGTGGAGGAAAAAATCTCTCCCTGCATTACAAGAGGAGTTACAGGCAGGCCAGGGAATGGCACTGCAGCTGCAGTCTGTTGCATGTCACTCTTTGGAAACCCCTAACCACAGCTGTTGGCTTTTCCTGTAAATGTCAATACTGTGACATCACATCCCTCAGCAGAGGGGATTTACCTCCGTGTTTCTCCAGTGGGAGGGTAATGTGTGCTGTGTGCATTTTATGGGGCAGTAGCAAGCCATGCTGAGCTGTGCTGGGATTCCCAGACTGCTTCCGTGGCATTTAAACGCAGCTCTAGCACAAGTTACACGTCAGCACAGTGCCTTGATGTGGCCCAGCCTCTTCTTCTGGCAGACATCCTGCAACAAATGGGAACCTCCGTGCTGTGTGTGCCTGCAACTCTGTCCTCCCTGTGCCTTCACTCGCTTCCCAAATTATCTTCACTCTTCACAATCTCTGCACACGTTTACAGTGTGATGAACTGATCTAGGCTTGCTTGATGACTAGGCTTGCCAGGACTCCTAAGCCCAACTAGTTTGTTAGCAGCAAGGGAAGAAACAACTTTGTGCCTTTAAGCAAACTGATGTTTCTATAAAATACAAATCAGGATAGAAAACGCTTCTTCCATTTTTTGTAACTCTCTGTTCTGTCTGATTCTGTGCAGGTTTGACATCACCCTAGCTTTGAAAGAATTGCAAAAGTCTGAGAATTTAAGCCTACATCTTCCAGAAAACCAAGACAACGCCTCTCAGATCTCCCATCTCTCCTTTCAAGCCTCTGATTGGTGCTGCTGAAAAAGTTCAGACAGATTTTTTCTTTTTGTGTGTACATTTTTTAAGCAAGAACTTGGATAAGTTTTATTTTTCTTAAATGCCTTCACTTTTGGATATTACTTGTGACTAGAACTGTTTACAAAAGAGTTAGACAATAAAAGACCATATTCCACCATAAAGTGTCTAGAAGTTTTTAATCAGCTGTGCTCAACAATAGCTCAGCCCCAGCCATGCACACTTCAGGCATGTGACTAATCCTATTAACTTGAATTGAAATGTATTAAAGTGTTTAAAGGATTAGAATCTTAATTACAGTCCATCTACAGAGGTCAAATATCAAAGGCTGTTCAGAGCCTGAGTTTTAGCATTTTCTGAATGAGTGAATGAGTAATATTTGTGTGAGGTCTCCTTTCCCCTTTTCACACAGCATTCTTTCTGCTGTAGAGTTAAATGGGTGTTCCAATATGGCATTTATTAACTAGGCTGAATCATCCTGATGTCCAACAGTCAGGTCTCCAGATTATCAGCTGGTTAGACATTAGCAGGGCTGCCATATATGCTCTAAAGAAGTTTAGGACTTGGAGAACATGGATTTGAACAAATCAAGTTTGCATAGCGTAGTGCAAGCCTACTTTATGGCTGCTTCTGATTTGAATTATTAATCACTAAGACTTTTTTTCCTTATGATATATTAAACAGAAATGGAAAGGAAGAGCCTTGGGATGATAATTAGCTGGTCTTGACAGTGTATAACTTAGACATCTAACTTAGATGTATAAATTATGGTCTTTGGCTCCAAACAGGAATATCAGAAAAACAGGGACAGAAATTGCCTTCTTCCTCCCACCCAAAAAGCAGGATCAATTGCATTAGGTAATTTCTGACAGACACTTGTTCAATTTGCATTTGAAACCCAGAAAGCAAGGCTGGCATTCCCTATATTATTCTCTCATTCTTTTTTCATCTACACCTTGAGAAAGCAGTTTGTTACATCTAACCCAGATCTCTGTTGCCCACTGAGCCTTTACAGCTGATGAGAAGACTTTATTGTCCTCTCCCTTAGACATAAGCACACATATTTGGGGCCCTCCTACTGTGTGTCCCCTTTCTCTGGGATAAACCACTCCAATTCCTCCAATGCTTCCTCATAAAACCTCTAACTCTCTATCTCAAGCAGAATACAATACCCCGGCTGAAGGTTTTCTAGCCCCAAGCATGACAGTAGAATGGCTTCATTTGCCTGGCAAACAACATTCCTTTTTATGTAGCTCCCAGTGCTATTTGCCCTTTTTGTGGTGGCATGGCTGGTTCCTGTTGGGTTTGTGATCCCTGCTAACCACCATGACAGGTTATACAGTGATGCTATCAGACCAGTAAGTCCACAGCCTGCATTTCTGATGTTGGTAGTTCTGCAGAGAGTGAAAGCACATCCTTTGAATTACTTCCTTTCCCCCTTTTGTAATTTGCCAAGTGTGATGAGATCCTAGCCCTGTCCTCTAACACTTCCTGCCCCTCCCAGCCAGTGGGGCTGGCAAGAACATTGTTTGCTCTGCCATTTAATTATTTAATAAAAATATCAGATTTGTGCTACTCCTGCAGAATTCTGCTCGCTGTGTCCAGCCAAGTTAGCAACATAGTAATTTTAAATATTTCAGTCCAGTTTACAGCCAATTCTGTACTCATCCATTTGTGTTTTTCTGGACTTGCTTGTGAGATGGATGGCCATGTGAGAGAGTGTTAGGAGTCCTTCTAAAACCAAGAGCTGGAAATGAGCCTGCTTGACGTAATTTATTCTAGGCAAAGTAAACCTAGAAATTTCTTTTCTAGGTACTTAAATATATCAGTGGAGGCAGAGGTTTAACTCCAGCACCTCATTATTTAATGACTCAGCAGGTCACAAAACACGTACAGCTTCATAACACAGGAATGCAAGCAAGAGAGAACTTGAATTCCTGTGCATGTGATCAAAAATTGTTTTCATCTAAAATATATTTATTTCAAATCCAGAACAATCACAAAATATCACTTTTACATTGCTGTGCACTGGGGACAGAAACAAACTGTCAACAAACTTCCCTAGTAATGAAAAGTGATTTCAAGTAACTTTCTTGGGTTCTTCTACGACAATTTTCAGCTTCATGCTTTAAACAAA